TTTTAATTATAGGATTATAATTTCAGGATGTTTTGGCACACTGTCACTGTGGCCGGTTAACAGGTATTCAATTAAAGCACCAAGAATTCCAGCCACGAAATTTCCTTGTCTGCAGGGCCTGTAGAATCATAATTTGATCATGCATTCAGATGACCAAATCAAACTTGCAGGTACACTTGTTCTTTGATTCTCACTTTTGATGATTTTATTTTTTTTTTTAAAGGAATACATTTATTCAGTAAGGATGTATTAAATTGAGCAAAAGGGACAGTAAAGACATTTAACACATGGCTCTCTGGAAGAATCGATTCTGATTGGTCAGTCACGACATTCCAAGGTGTGTTATTGCCCGATAACAACCATCGTCATTAGCAATGTTGAATAACACTGCTCATCTGTGTATTTGAGGTCGGCGCTTCTTTCACATCTCTCATATCACACCACTGCGCTCTCGCTCTCTCGTTTCATTCAACTGCAACTTAGTCTTATATGCAACTTATATGCAACTCATCTTGCACCCCAATTATCAACTGTATTTACTGTTTTAAAATGTAAAATTAAACCAGAGGAGTTCAGTATTAATAGAAGATCTCCGTTAATATTGTTAAAGTGTTCGTCTTGTTGCCAGAATGATTGTTGTGTATATTTTAATTGATTTAAGATAATTAACAGGTAAGATTTTAAAATGCTTTCTTCTCAAATAACATTCGCAAACATAACAGAAGCTGTGTAATGAGTTATACGACTGTACTTCGTGTAGATGCAAAGCCGTTTGTTAGGAACTGTTTTTCTTTGCGGAAGCTTTGCGTTTAAAGAACTAATGAAATATTTCAACTCCAATGAATATATTGTGTTGAATATTGATTTATTTAAAAAGCGATATAATACACATCCAGCTGGTTGTTATCGCAGAATAAACCCTGGCAGGGTGATCAGGACCTCCATGCGATGTAACATAACAAAAGATTTCTATTTGAAATCAATGCTGTTCGTTTATACTTTCTATTCATCAAAGAATCCTGAAAAAACAAGATTGTGGTTTCCATTATTATATTATGCAGCAAAACTGCTTTTTTAACATTGATAATAATAAGAAATGTTTCCTGAGAACCAAATCAGCATATTATAATTATTTTTGAAGGATCATGTGACTGAAAATTCAGCTTTGCCATAACAGAAAAAAAAACTTTTAAAAAACTTTTTAAAAAATATATTCAGATAGAATGCAGTTATTTTGTCAGCGCTGATAGCCTTGTGGGCAGCACGCCTACATACAGTGCTGTAACGCTTCGGGTGCCTTGAGTTTGAATCCTGGCTCGTGGACATTTCCCAATCCTGTCCCCTGTCTCTCTCCCACTTCCCTTCCTGTCAACATACTGTCTTGTCGTAAAATAATTAATAATAATCAAATAAACGCAGGCTTGGTGAGCTTCACACTTTTTTTTTCTTAAAGATTTAAAAAATCTTACTGATGATAATGGCTTCTCTGCCCACCCCTGCAGCACAATTATAGTACTACTGAAACGGGTTCTTTATACCTGCATGAAACTGCTCAAAACCTGTCACAATATTGTCAGAATGCATATCATACCATGTTCTTGCTTGTTCTACCAACCTGCATGTATGTTGATAAAGGTGCCTAGTCTTAAAGCAACGATTGTGTAGTGGCCTGATCAGTCACTAGGGAGTTCATGAGGATATGAAACACTTCCGCCTTTGTTCAAAATAAGTGTTTTGGGCCACTGGTGACTTTTATGGTTAGATTGCTTTTTTTTATATCCCATGAATCCTCTTGCTATTTTGTCCTTTTTCAAATTAGCTGATGATACATTGTTTTAATAGCACATACAGTAAGAATAGAAGCAAATGGAAAATGTATTAAAGGACATAATTTCCCTCTATTAATCCTGTTCATTTAACTTGATGTATTATACTCATGTTTAGAGAGGAACCCAAATGCACAAAGGGCATAGGGCTGACATCTTTATAATGGAATTTCAATTAAATGTGGGGGACTATACAACATGCAGTTCTTCAGAGCTGTGCCTGCTCTGAACCCAAAAAGACATGATTCCACGAAGGAATCAAATAAATTTAGCGTAAATATGCAAATCATGATCTTAGGATTAAATATAAATCTTTTTCATAAACAGGCATTAGCCACATGGCTCTGGCACAATGTTTCATTGCAGTTATTTGTGGAGCTGCCTAATTTTACTGTTACATAGACATACAATCACAACAGATCCTCAAAATAGGTCCATATGACCTGCTATTTATTAACAATGTGGCATGCAGGCGTATACAATAACATTAACGCACACTCATGCTAATGCATAATGAAGCACAGCCCTCGCACAGATGGCAGGACAATTGTGTCTAAGATTATGGATTCATGTGTGTGTCTTTGTTGGTTTTGTTGCGTTTGAAAGACATGGCATGTGGAATAATTGAGTTGATGTACATAATTATATAGGTCCAGCTTTTCAGATGTGACTCCACATGTGTTATAGATAATGTGCAATTCCTTTAATTAGCATGGTGTCACATGTTATATTTACTTGTGACAATGAATGAATGTTTCATTCTGGCTCTAACCAGAAATTGCATGGTTTACTTCTTGATTTTGTCATACAGTATGTCATAATGGGTGATTGTACACAATTTGTGATGCTTTATATCACAAATTTTAATGACAATTCCTTACATCGTACTTTCTTATTATCATTACTACATTTAACACATTGTTTGCATGAACTAAATCAGCATTTTGACCTTTCTCTAACTCTACCTTGTTTTTCAATCAATCACTTTTTTAACAGGAAAAAAGTTAAGCAAGAGATCCCAAAAAGAAATCCCTGTGTTGGAAAACACAACCTGCAAGTATCTTATATTGTCTAATCCTACACTTCTCTGCTGTAGTACTGCTGTGTTTTGCATTGACTGTAGCTTGTAGCTTTAAAGCAATATTCAGCAGTTGATCTAAATAAAACTCAGTTGACCTCATTTGAAGAATGCTATTGATTACAACAGAAAAAAACTTTGAGTCCCTGGCTTTGTTTAGAAAACTCAAAGAAAAACGAATTTGCAGTAATGCACTTACAATGGATGCCCAAGGGGCAAATGTATTGAATAGTTTAGAAGCAGAAATGTGACGGTCATACTTTTCTTGAAGCACTTGAATTTTTCAGTAAAATTTATCTGTTTAAATCATCCTCTTGAGGTGGAAACCTTTGATTCTTCATTATCAACAAAATTCCTGTGTGAAATGTGTTCCATGTAAACTGCATTTTATGGTCGGTTTCTTCCTTAAACTGATATTCTTGTGTAGATGTGAAATTTGTTCAAACTTGAGTTTACTAACCTTTGAAGCACAGAAAAAGTTATATGATAGCAGTTTCATGCTATTATTTATTCTAGATTTTAGATTTAGATTTAGATTTTAAATATTTTTTGTGGTGCTGGACAGTGGAAACAATAGATTTTGAATGTAAGTACATTACTGTACAAGGGTTTTCCTTTGTTTTTACAAAATAAGGGACATATTTATCAGATTATAATGATTTTCTCTTGTGATAGACAGCATTCCACAGATAAGCTTAAGTTAAATTTAACTCAGAATCTTCCTTAAAGGTTTGGCATAAAATTGATTTGTGGTACAAACTCAGATTGATTAAATGCCCAATAAAAACAATTCTTATAATAAAAGAAAGTTAATCTAAAAATGTAAACAATTTACTCACCATCATGTCATTTCAGACCTGTGTGCATGTGTTTCTTCTGTGGAACACAAAAAAAGATATTTTGAAAAAGGTCTCTTTGTTTTTTGGCCATACAATGACAGTATGTGGGCTCCGATGTTGTTTGGACCTCAGCATTCTTCAGAATGTCTCCTTTTTGGTTCCATACAGGTTTGGAATGACAGTAAATGATTTTCATTTTGGCTCATCTATCTCTTTAAATAAAGGTTCTGAAGAGCTTCGTCAAAAATTTCCATATTTCTCATTTCATTGTAATATAATATAGAAACAAATATGGAAATAACATGAAAGCAAATAAATCTCATAGGATTAGTAAATAAATATGCTCTCTTTGTCTCTCTCCCTCACACACACATATTGTACAGCGTCCCTCCCCAACCACCATCCCACAGTATTTCTGTCCATCTTCTTTAATCTCCCTTTCTCCTTCCTCAACCCCTTTTTATTCCTGCTTATTCTCGGTCGATGTCTTCCTGTCCACATTAATCGATGATAAAACCTCCCAGCAGACGTTACCTTAAGTGACTCGATCCTCCATTGTAATGATTAGACTCCTGGCCATCATTTCACGTCACACGTCTCAAGACAGGCGTCATGCTGCTAGAGACTGGTTCAAAGCCTAGCTTTGGTTTTGAGGCATTTAACATGTCACTGACAATGAGTGTTGGGCAAAATGACATAACACACCCTTCTTATCCTAAAGGGAAAACAAGAGGAGCCTTCTTGCTGCCGAAAGGAGCTCGAAATGTGTATCTGAATGAAACCGAGGATTCTAGAGATGTGATGGGTGAGTGGTATCACACTTTGTAGAGGAATGGGCATCGGTAGAGAAGGCAACAGTAGTGTTTTTGTGTTCTTGTGTGATGTGTTGCAAACTGACTCAAGGCCTTGCCATTCAGCATCCTTCTCAATTAGCCTTGCATAACAATCATTCATGGCCTTCACTTTTCGCCTGACATTGTTATTTGATCTTCTGAAGGATATGTCATCTATTCGCATGGGTGTGAATATATGAAATGAATGGATGAGGAACCTTCTGTCATGTTTTGTGGTTTGTCCCATAGGCTTGTCATGACCCTGCTGTATGAACAGTTGCAGTATTCCAACTGTTCAAATCTGAAAGCTTTAGTAATGTACTACTGTAGAAATGCCTTCTAGTGATGCCCACCTCTGCAAAGATCAAACCGTAGTAGAACTTCTTAGCTAACTAATCGCTTCTGCTGTCTCTCCCTTTGCCTTTTTTCGTCATTGCAAAGGTTACCTAAAGATGTTTCTCATTCCTCCTGGGGCTAGACATGTGATCATACAAGAACATGAGGCTTCTCCTCAATTTCTTGGTAAGTGATATCTGTCCTCATGTATCTCAAGCTTCACAGCAAGAAGACCAAATGCATGCTCATGTATTCTGTGCCTGTTCTGGGTAACTATGCTCGATGGATCCATATCACCCCAATACATACCACCGCATCAATGTATTCACATAAAGAGTTTGTGCATTTGCCTGGAAGTGCATTAGACAGAATTAGACTCACAGATTTTAGAGACAATCGCTGTCTACCACAATTTGTCTGTGGCATTGTGAACCACAGTCCTCAAACCTCAAAGCGAATGGATGTTTTCAAGCCGTGGGCTCATTTTGGAATTTACAGTGGGTTTTTAGAATAGCAGATTTAGGAGTAAAATCATGTTTCACGTTTTGTTCCACAACATAAAGTAGCTCAAACATGAAACCATTTTGTGGTTTTATTGCAGAAGTTAAGCTAACATGTTGTACTACAACTACCCACAGCATGCTTTGATGAGTCAATGTTGTAGAACTAAACATTAAACTTTTTGGCCCACTTTCTTTATTCTATTCAATTCTTTATTCCATACAGACAGAAATGATCACTTTGCAATGCACATAATTGAACCAGATGGTTTTATTCCAACAATATTCACCTTCTTATACGTGCTTCTCTGTGAATGTAGGAGTTTGAATAATACTCATCGTTTGTTAAACTTTTAATTAAACCTAACCTTATTTTAATTAGTTAGATAAGATGTTCACAGTCTGACTTTACTGCCCAAGTTAACCTTTCAAGAGGTCTTCCAAAGGTAATTCTGTTTCAATAATATAGGGGGTGTTAAATAACTTATGTATACATATTGCGGTTATCTATATATTTAACTTAACTGATTGCAATAATTAGATTCTTTGCAGGTCTAAACACTATAGCAATTAATATGGTAACCTCTGCTCCAGGTGTGTGTTCACGGTGTGTGTGTTCACTGCTGTGTGTGTGCACTTTGGATGGGATAAATTCAGAGCACTAATTCTGAGTATGGGTCACCATACTTGGCCACATGTCATGTCACGTCACGTCACTTCACTTCACTTCATAAGCATCTAATATGGCAAAAATAAACACAAACTCATCACACTAAGCATGTAGGAAATCAAAGGTCAAATTATCCTAAAGTGAATTTAGATTTTGTAGATATGTTGGCAAAAATAAACACAAACTCATCACGCAGGTCAACTTTGATTTCCTACATGCTCGTAACCCAATACTCAAAGGTCAACTTTGATTTCATGCATCAAACTTTTTGCACTATACTGCCTAACACTTTATGTTCATTATTATTTAAAAAATTCCAGACAATATACTCCATAATTAAAGTTCTAGAAACCTAATTTAATTTTTCACATTCCAAGTGACATTTGATGACTTGTAGCATTGGTGATTGTCTTGATGTCTGCGCAGCTCTCCTTGTAATCACCATTTACATTCAAGCGAATGACCACTTAATTTCTCTCGTGCTCTGAGCCAGACTGTGTCACTACTTATTTGTGTCAATATGTCCTCATATTGTTCAACAGCATATAATACTAGCTTCATGTTTCTGAATAATTCAATAAAGCTTATAGACATTGAAACGGCACAATAAAATGCTCACTGTTTTGACAGTTAAACATCTGATTCAATGGCTGAAATGATGACTTAATTGAGCAGGGTGATTCAAATCATTCTGTTAACTTCTTATCCCTGAACTGTTGAAGAGTTGTAATTAATCGCTGATTGCAGCTATCAAGAACCAGGCAACAGGGCATTACATTCTCAATGGCAAGGGAGAAGATGCGAGATCTCAGTGCTTCATCGGGATGGGAGTGGAGTGGGACTACCTAATTGAGGACGATGTCGAGACTCTTCACACTGATGGTCCACTACATGATGCAATTGTTGTTTTGGTAAATAAAACTTTCTCTAATCTAATTGTAGCCTTAAAAATGAGATATGTGATAATGTGATATATTTAAGTATTTGCAATTCTTGATATATAGGCACCATGTTGATTATTGGCCAATATTTGTGTTTTTATTTAATTATATTTAGTATAAGCCGATAATGGATATTTAATGTTGAATCTCACTTCCCCTGTTTTACCGTTTGAAATACCTTTGCCGTCATCTGATGTTCACTTCAAGTTAATATTTAATTCTTTATTTAAATTATTAACACTAGTGATTTAAAAACTGATAAGTCATATTTTGCAAATCACAAAATGAGTGTTCATTTTAATGCTGTACATTATAATGTTGTGATGTACCTAAATGTACTTTTAATTACATTGAAAAGGATTGATTTTAGATTAATATTATCTATTTAGGCAAATTCATCTAACAATTACATTTTAAATAATGCTATTTTATTATAAGCCATTTATTGTTATTGGCCATAACATGAACATATTATATTATTAAATAATATAATATTAATATTAATAGATGTTGTATTTATAGATATCCTTGAAAAAATAGATGCACCTTCTCTCCGTTCACATTCTTTATTCATGCTTTAAAGAGGGTGCAACATGATTCAAATTTAGTATAGATTTACCCCTTTGTCAAAGGCCTGTTGCGCAGCAACATATATATTCCCTCTGATTACCTTAATTGAGTTCAGAACTAAGTGGAATGGAAATTGTTTGGTTGGCCATAGCAACCTTTGTGTAATTTAATTTTCTCTATAGTTGCATTTGTGCAAAGAGTGAATGCCTCTCTCTGCATAAATCTTCAATGACAAAGGGCCGACATGCTTTGCATTCTCTTTTTGGTATTAAAACTTTCAGTCTTCATTCTTTGATTGGTAAAAAGGAATTATGGAATAATTATGGATTATGCCGAACCATCCATCATTTGAATAAGTATGTCAATGAAAATGCAAGGCTCAGTAATCATGACTTGTGATGATGGCAAATGTAAAAATGAAGCAAAAAATATATATATACAACACTGCAGAGTGTGAAATCTTATGAGTGTGTATTTGTGTGTGATGCATGCAGAGAGCCCAACACCTCTCCCCCACACAGTACAGTATACTGTATGGTGTTGCACATCATGCCTCACCATATACCGTACACAAAAGCCACAGCTGATGTCTGTCATTTTTTCCCCCATGTTCATCAGAAAATTCAGACTCAAAGCAGCACCCTTCTTTTCCCTCTTGGACATTTCTGACAGAAGTGTAAAGCTGATATTTGCAGGCTTTGACATCTGTAAGAGGTGTTCATGAATATAATAATGTTGTTCCTCATAGGACCACTGTATGTAAGGGATTTACTAGCACAGTTTAGGAGGTTGTTGGGGGACATGGGTCCATTTAGCAGTTGCTATACAAAAATTATAAGATTGCTGCAATTGACCATTTAGAATCAACTATATCAGAGAACCACATAACAAGACACACTAATGACCCATTCACACTTACAGTGACTTTAATGGAGTCTTATGGACCTTTTTCACATTTCCTGGTTTCTCAGCAGCAGAAGTAGTCATAGTTATGTAAACTTCTATAGTAGTGAATGGGAGACTACCACAAATATATTTTTTGCATTCCCATTTGCTCAAATAGCAACTCTATAACTCTATCTATAAATAGATGCTCTTATTAGAAACACGCTTGCATTAGCGTTAATTAGTTTTTTTGTAATTTGATGCAAAGGTAATATAAATTATAGTGTTATAAATGTACATACATAAAAAAAAGCTAAAAAATTGGAGGATTTACGATGCTGATGACCATTGAAACGCATCATCACGGTCTTGTGAAAAGGGTCTATTGGATGCTAGTTGGCGTTTCTGCTGCTGGATGCCTTAAAATCATTGGTGGCCATGCAGCTTTTGAAAATCTGATCATAATTGGATTTCTTGCTGCTGAAACTCACTCTGAATGTGCTAGTTTGCATAAAGTAAAACTTTTTGCATCGCTGGGCACACCTACATTTGGCGTCAACACTCACTGACTTTTTGTCACTATTGTAATTCACCCTTTAAGATGACATGATTTTCATTCATATTGTTTATATGCACACAAGGTGTAGCGTTCAATCCATTATAAAACATACAAAGATTGCATGTCTGCTTATTATAGAATCAAAATCCACTTTAGATCACAATCGGAACATGATGATGGTTTAAAGTGGGTTTTTGAGCAAAAATATTAAGCGGACAATGTTAAAGCCTTATATGAGAATACATACATAAGGAGAAATGCATTGTTGGTCAAAAAAAGCGAGGTGAATCAGCAACGAATGGTGCTTTCACATCGACTGCGAAATGATTGATCGCCTTCTGCTAACACCTGCATGCTAGGTGGCGCTGACCAACAATGCATTTTTCCTCAGATATGTATCTCATATCTGGATTTAACATCGTCCGCTGCTCAAAAACATTAAATTAATATAAATAAAATTTGGTTCTACACCAGAAACACAAACCATCTATAATGCTTACAAGAGTACATCTTAAAATATTATTAGAGGTACAATTAGCATCAAGCTACACTTGAAATTGTATGTGATTATTCATGTTTTTGCTTAAAACCAGGGCCGTCCTTAGGGGGGTGCAACTAATGTGGCTGCACCAGTCCCCGTGGTGAATGGACCGAGGGGGGTCCCGCTCCCTACCTCGCACCGGCCCCACGTCAGT